CATCACCACCTCTGCAAGCTTGAAATGTCAGCAAAATCAGCTTCTCAAGGACCCGCAGCTCCAGTGTCCTCACTCAAAGACTGCTGCCTGCCAAAGGAAGGTTCATTCCTGGCCCAACTCACAGCTACAGACTTGGAATTGGCAAGTCAGTAGCTTGTGTGTGTGTGTGCGCGCGCGTGTGCGTGTGTTTAAACAAAGGAGGTTCTGTGATTGTGGTTTGGCACACTAGGGGGCCCTAATGTCGGACTGAGCATAAACAACTTCTGAAAAATTGCTGAAGTTTTAATAAAACCTTTGCAAGATGTTTCAAAAGCCTAGATAGGGTTCCCATTTTTTTCAATCTTTATGAAGGTGGGCCTGGTAATGTAGTTTAGTAAGTAACATGTTGGCCTAGAAGGAGGTTCACCCCTACCAGCAAGAGTTGGGGGTGGTGACTGCAATGAAAAATTGCCTTTCTCCAAATCAGGGGACCAATTAGAGATTTAACTCAAGCATGCTACAAAGGGAGATTCTATAATAAACTGTCATACCACTCTTCTGTACAACATTTCTACTTCCACTTCCTCCTAAGATCCCAGGGCAGGGTAGAGTTTTTCTCCCTGTGTGAAGTCAGACCACCTCTCCCTTTTATTTCCTTTATATCATCATTACTCTTCCCCCCTCACAAGGCCCTCACAAGTACAGCTGGTGGCGGCCACTCCACAGTTTTGGAGCTATAAACCTGGGTTTAAGGCCACTCACTGACTCCCATTAAAATGAAAGGATTCAAGGAAGGAAAATTAACCTCATCAGTCACATACTCTTGAGAGGGCTTTTAACATAGAAATATGAGAAGATAGTACACTCAAATATAAAGGAGGTATAAAAATGAGACATTACTGAACTAGTTAAAAGTTAGCCTTGAATTCTAGTAAATACTCATACAAACTTACAAAATGATGGAAGCTTAATATTTCAAGCCAAGCAGAGGAAAAACAAATGTGAAGTGTAAAACACTGATTCCTTTGATAAATTCAAAGAAGTAACAAGTACTAATAAAGCAGAACGTTCAAACTAACATCTGAAAAAATACATAGCGAAAGCTCTTTTTTTTCAGTCGGTCATGGGGCTTGAACTCTGGACCTGGGCGCTGTCCCTGTCTCTTCAGCTGAAGGCAAGTGCTCTACCACTTGAGCCACAGTGCCACTTCTGGTTTTCTAGTGGTTTACTGGAGATAAGAGTCTCACGGACTTTCCTGCCCGGGCTGGCTTTGAACTGTGATCCTCAGATCTCAGCTTCCTGAGTAGCTAGGATTACAGGTGTGAGCCACCGGCACCCAGTTTCTTGGATAACTTCTATGGAGAGGAACATGAAGAAATGTCAAACATCTCTGGCCATAAAAAATGCAAATCAAAACCACATTGAGATTCCACCTCACTCCAGTTAGAATGGCCATTATCAAGAAAACAATAGAGGTAGGTGCAGGTAGGGATGTGGCCAAAAGGGCATGCTACTACGCTGTTGGAAGGAATGTAAACTGGTTCAACCACTCTGAAAAGCAGTATAGAGGTTCCTCAAAAGATTAAACAAAGAGCTATGATCCAGCAATCCCACTTCTGGGCATTTATCCAGATGAATACAAACAAGGCCACACTAAAGTTACCAGCACAACTATGTTCACTGCAGCATTACTTACCATAGCTAAGATATGGAGCCAACCCAGATGCCCCTCAATAGATGAACGAATCAAGATCAGAAAAAATGATACTGCCCCATTCATAAGGAAATGGAAAGACTTGAAAAAAAAATCACATTAAGTGAAGCCAGACCCAAAGACACATAGGCACCATGGTTTCCCTCATTTGTAATAATTAGTATATGTCTGGAATAGTCCTAGCAGAGGATCACAATATGCTAATCAAAATGAACTCCAAATTTAGTAACAACAGGTTTTCTTTGTTGTTGTTTTTAATGTACTGAATGAAGTTATTTCTTTTTTCTTTCATATTTTTTTCCTTTGGTTCATCACTCATTTTCACTATTTGTGATTTTGGTACCCTGTGTCTTGTATATACATTTATCTGATTTGGGAGAAGGAAGGGGAACAACAAAATAGTGAGGCAAAGGACAAAGGGTGAACTAATGTAACAACCATAATTACAAGACACTATGTTGGAAATGAACTTTACAATTTGGTGGGGGGTGTGGGGAGGGAAGTGAGAGAAAATGAGGGAGGGGGTAACAATATTCAGCAATTACATATCTAGCTCTAATCCCTCTGTACATTACCTTTTTTTACAATAAAATTAAAATTTAAGACAAAAAAAATTTGGTGATAATTACCTAAGAAATAATGCAAAAGCACTCTGAACATTCTTCCTATAAAGATAACTATTCAAAGCACAGTAAATACTTCCTAGGATTAAAAGGACCATTAATCAGCTGGGCACCAGGTGGCTCACACCTGTAATCCTAGCTACTCAAGAGGCTGAGATCTGAGGATCTTGGTTTGAAGCCAGCCCAGGGCAGAAAAGTCTATGAGACTCTTATCCCCAATAAAGTACTCAGAAGAGGCCAGAAGTAACGCTGTGTCTCAAGTGGTAGAGTGCTAGCCTGAGCACAAAGAGGCTCAGGGACAGCACCCAGGCCCTGAGTTCAAGCCTCAGGACTAGCAAAAATAAATTAAATAGATAAAGGACCATTAATCATCAATCAATATAAAACAAGACTATATTAATCAATATAGAACAAGACTAATATGATCTCTTATGGAAAGTTTAAGCCTAGATGTAAAAAAAAAGGAGGAACAGTATATATACACAGTAAACAAATTGCTTAGATTATGAGCCATATTTAAAGAAAATTGGTGTGTGGAATTTTTTAAATCAATATCCACTTGGCCCTATATATTAGAATAATTCTCCCTGCAGACACAAATAGAGGTCATAAAATTAAGAAAACAGTTAAGATAATCAAGACTATTAACTGAGCTACCCAGTGACCAATATTTAAATGATTAAAATGTAAACACTGGCTATTGTGTGCTGGCGGCCTGCCTAGCTAACCCTGAGTTTTCAGTCTTTCCCAGGAGTAAGCTTACAATATGAAATATTTTCAAGATTTTCATTAGTTCAACTTTTTGAATTGAATTGTCTATGTTCTTTGAATATTCTTCTATGAGTATTCCTATTCTGTGAATATTCCTTCATATCCTATGTAAAGAACTACACTGGGTGAGAGAAAATGATGCAACAGGTAACATCACCCAAAGATATGTTGTACTTCTAAACTGATAACCCCTTCTACAGCAACTTAAATAAAAACATAAGATAAACTACACAGTGATAATCAACTCTGGTCACAAGTAATATTTTTTCTAATCCACTTTTTATTCTTTTTATATAAGTAAGTAATCCTTTGATTTTTATTATTGGAGGTTTTAACATCAAACTTAGTCTTCAAAGATTTTTTTCTTTTTCCAGAGCTGATAACCAAATTCAGGGCCTTCCACTTGCCAGGCTACTGAGCTAAATCCCCAATCCCAAAGATTTTTAACTCTACCTTGCACTCTTGTTCTTTTAAAGTTCACATGGATTATGAATATAAGGTAAGGTAGTAATCAGATACCCCAATGCTATCTGTTAAATATCCTTCACTTTTTTTTTGTTTTGGTTGGTTGTGGGGTCTGCACTCTGGGCCTGGGCGCTGTCCCTCGGCTCTTCAGCTTAAGGTGAGCGCTCTACCACTTGAGCCACCTTCCCCGCCCTATCCTTCCCTTTTTCATATATGCCTCACTAAATTCTTTTAACAAGATATGTATTAAGAGGTGGATATGTGTGCGTGTATGCGTGTGTGTGCACGCCAGTCCTGGGGCTTGAACTCAGTAGCTGGGTTGCTGTTTCTGAGCTTTTTTGTCCCTGAGCTATTTTATTCAAGGCTAAGCTAGTACACCTAACTACAGCTCTACTTCCAGCTTTTTTGTGGTTATCTGGAGGTATGAATTTTATGGGCTTTCTGCTCAGGCTGGTTTTGAATGGTGACACTCAGATCTTAGCCACTGGAATCTGACAACATGTCACTAGATTATTTTAACAAACAATCTAAATACTCAAAACTGACCATTTTTATCTCAAGAATATTTATACTTTGTCTTATGTCTTAACATTTTAATTCATTCCTTTACATTAAGATTTCTTACACTTTAGGCACCTATTTTTATCTCAATAATATTTATACTTTGTCTTATGTCTTAACATTTGAATTCATTCCTTTACATTAAGATTTCTTACACTTTAGGCACCTACATTCAAGATATACAAATGGTGAATGAAAAAATATGATTTTTTCCACTTCATCAATAATAAAATATGCATCAAAATCATGTCAAGGGTAAATAGGCTGTTTGGAGTTGATGAGTGAGTTTTGGATTCTAGACTAATTTTCATTACCACATCTGTATGTTAATGTGTACTACACAGTAATGTATAAGACTTTATGTTCACTATACTGGTTTCACAAGATGCAATAAAACAAATTTCAAAGTATCAGGAGTTGAGAATTGTGAATTTAACAGAGAAAAATAAAGTGACATTGGAACCTTAGGGAAAATGTGTTTCATCTTTTATTTCCAAGGAAAGTCGTATATTATAAAAACAAACAATGTTATGCCATTGAGTACAGAGATCATTTTGAAAACTTAACCATTTTCAGCACACATCTGAAAATCTAAAATCAAAATCACCTTGAAAGGCTTCAGTCTTCTACTGTTTACAAAAATCATGTTATCACATTGTAATAACAAAAAATTGCTTTAAAGGTTCAAGTAGAAATGAGACCCAATAATTTGTAACCACAAGTACATTATATCCTATTGGTTGTTTATAGGAGCAATTAGTATTATACTGAGACTTAGCATTTCTACATGACCTGAATATTAGAAATAAGACATTTAGATTGCTTTAATATTTTCAGTTAACACCATCTGTATCTGTAACAATAACGTTGTAACTTTTAGCATTTTGCATAACTAGTTTGCATAGTTTTTTTAAGGGTAGGAGAACAGAAGGATAAGAGTTATAATGTCAGATTTCACACTTCTGTTAAAAATTTAAAAATCAAAACTTTTCTTCTCTCCATCAAAACCATACTTGAAGCATTTTTTGGTCGTTTGTTTTTTGCTTTAATCCCATGAATCATTATCTACTGGATTCGCAGCTTGTAAAGAAGAAAATCCGGCTGTATTTAAAGTGCTCTTGCCCTGGAAATTCTAGGAAGGAAGGAAGGAATGGAGGGAGGAAGGGAGGATGGAAAGAAGGAAGAAAGGAAGGAAGGTTTTTTAAGTTATAGTTACATTGCCCAGACTAATAGCAGAGACTTGAGCTTTCTATGTTATCTGTTCCAAATATAAAGACTTTATTCTCTAGCTGAAGATATGTACTCCAGTGGTAGAATATAGCTACTTACCATGTCTCTTAGTTCAAACCCCAGTAACTCCTCCTCATCCTCAAAAAAGACCTTCATTCTCAATAAATATGATTCATTTTTTAAAGACTCTTATCAAATGGGAAGTGTAAACTTCACAAAGTTACTAAGACAAATATTTTATCAATCCCTAGTTTTGGAAAGTAGAAAAACACTAATACTTCAATAACATATAAATAATTAGTATGTTTATTGTTTCTATATAAAGGTATACTGCCTTAAAACTGACAAAAAAAAACCCTTCCAGTCCCCTAACTTGAACATTTTGTATTTATAATATGGCCAAAATTCTAAACTTAAAAGAACTCTACAGAAACTTCAGAAGATCTCAAATTAAATTAAAAATACCAGAAAATTTAGAAATTGAAATGAAAATCTAATTCGAACTCCTTACCTTTAAAATTCAAAATATATTTACACAAAATTTTACAAAGTAGCTTTCTTCTAGACATGAAAATAATGGTTTCAATGAATTACTGAAGTTATTTCACCATATCAAGCATAATATTTTCAAAGAACTGGAAGCCAAGTTACAAATTTTTCACTTCAACTAACCTTTCTAGTATCGACTGATGCAAACACATTTCCTCTTGTACTACCACTGAAGCCAGGAACATATGTACTAAAGGCAATTTCCTCCAACCATGCAGGAACATCCTGTTGAGCCTTAAAAACAAATTAAGTTCAAATACAATACACAGTCTCAAAGATTGAAAATGTTTACTTTTTATGCATATGTATAAATGTCTCAACAACAAAGAACACTACCCATTCAACTCAAAAAATTAAAACTTACATCTGACAGTACTTTGACTAGAGGCTGTGCTAAATGGTTATCTGATTCAGGATCAAAAAAAGAAATTGCTCTGCCGGTATTCCCACAACGCCCAGTACGTCCAATTCGATGAACATATTCATCAATGGTAGAAGGAAGATCAAAATTGATAACATGTTGAACATTCTCAATATCCAATCCTCTGGCAGCCACCGAAGTAGCAACAAGAACTGGACACTTTCCATAGCGAAAATCTCCAAGAGCTTGCTCTCTCTCTCTCTGTTCTCGATCACTTGAAAAAAAAAAGATACTCTCATTAAAACTACTCTTAAGAAAAAACATTAAACTTTTAATTTATTTTAGTTTTTTGTGATGGAACTGAGCTTAAACTCAGGGCATGGGCCCTCTTTCCCTTAGCTTTTTCAATCAAGGCTGGCACTCTACCACTTAAACCAAAGCTCAACTTCCAGTATTTGGGGAGTTAATTGGAGATCAGAGTCTAACAGACTCTCCCACCCATGCTGGCTTTGAACTACTCAGCCTTCTGAGTAGGTAGGATTACACACAAGAATCATCAGAGCTTAGCTCAACTTATTTTAATTTGTAAAAGTAACGGAATTTAGTATTAATGTCCTAGTATTAATGTCCTATATACTAGGTACTTAATACAGTATAAGCATTAAGCATTACTTGACTGTTGTAATTTATATGATAAATTCCTAGATACTTAATACTGTATTTAAGTACTAGTATGTTAAATAACTTCTAAGCCAATACTGTATTCTCACAATACTTTGAGTTGGAATAATGATCCATTTGTGGATGAGGTAATAGCTAACTGAACTAGAATATAAACGTAAGTATAACAAAGTTCAAATTCTACTTACTAATAGTCTTTATGCCTTCTAATTTCAATGAAATATATACAATTAATTGATTGGAATACTTTCTCAAAACAGTTCTTAAAAGTATAAGTTGAGTCCAGTGCTGGAGTGCCCAGGTCTTGAGTTCAAGTCCCATGACTGACAAAAAAATATGTACATTCGAAATAGTACATATTTAGACATTTTGGATCTACTTGTAAAGTACCAATAAAATTGTGTTGATGTAACATTTTTAATTACCCCAATGTTTTTAAGTCCAGCATCAATAGGTTAGATTCAGCAGATAAAAAACTTATAAAACCCAAAATCCTTAAGTGAAATCTTGTATTCCCAGTCCTCATGATCAGGAACCTAATGTACATCTTTAACTTGCCAATCCCCAACACTTAGTTCCTATAATAATTAAAAATAAAATAAACAAAAACTGTATTACACTGTTGTTTTTTTGGTTCAAGTAGGGAAAGAGTAAGTTCAGATTTTGAGAGAATTCTGAATCCTAGGATTTTATCATATAAATTACAGCAGTCAAGTAATGCATAATGATGAAAACAAGTTCTAAGGAATGTGCCATTAGCCTATTTCATCAAAGTGCAGACATCATAGTGTACTTCTATAAATGAAGACAGTTATATTACTATGTGATATATAACCTTATGTGACCTACTGTCATATATGCAAGTCTGTCACTGACCCCAAGTGGTACTTAACCCCCCCCCATGCACGTACAGAGTTTTTAAATGTCAAACAGAAGTCATTTTCCTTCTGTGATTTTCATACTGTGATATACACAGGTTATCACATTAATTTACTCACCCATGAATACTTGTAGTTGATATTTTTTCTTGACAAAGAAAGGTTGCAATAAAATCTGCTTTTTTCTTAGTTTCAACAAAGACCATAGTTCTCTCATCACCTTTGAAACAATGAAAATTATTCAAAGTACAAAATTAGGAAAAGGGGGCATGTTAGAACAGAAAACTTTGTTTTATCCACTACTACACTATCAACACCCAGAGAGAATCCTGATAGGTAGGAGGAAGACAAATGTTTCCTGAATGAATGTCAAGGATAACTGCCAAGGACTATTTTTCTAGTAGAGAGATTAAAGGATTGCCTTTTCTCCTCCCAGAACAACTAAGAACATAGATATTGAGGGAAAGGTAAATAATTGCCTGCTATTGGTAGTTTCAACTTGTCTTTGTCTTTCTTTACCCACTTCATTTCTCTCTAAAAATAGCCTTCTAATGATAATTCAACCTTTCATTCTGCCTTGATCAAACAAAATGTTTGTAACAGTGACATATGACTCACAGCTGTAAACTCTATAACCTATGTTATAGCATTATCTTTTAATTCAAACCTTCATTTCCAAAATTATACAGACACATGCAATCATACACATTATATGTCTGAAGCTATTAGGAAATATTTATTACTTCATAGATTAAAGTAGTAAAGTGGTAGAAAAGCAAGCATGGCCCAAAGGTTTTTCCACATAGGTAATTTCCCCATAAAAAATGTTAGAGAAGTCCAGGTGCTGGTGGCTCATGCCTGTAAGAAGGCTACTCAGGAGGCTAAAATCTGAAGATCACATTTCAGACCTGGCAGGAAAATCTGTGAGACTATTGTCTCCAACTAATCACCAAAAAGCCAGAAGTAGAAGTGTAGCTCAAGCCAGAGAATGCTAGCCTTGAGCAAAAGAAGCTCACGGGCAGTGTTCAGAGGCCCTGTGTTCAAGGCCCAGAACCAGAACAACAACAACAAAAAGATGTTAGAAAAGAAAGATAATTCATAGCCTTAGTGACAATAATGTACCACTGTTCATAGTCAATCTCTACACCCCCATCAGCTCACTTCATTCATTCACTTATTCAACAAGCAAGCCACCTCGTAGATATCTGACACTATTCTAGGTTTTGGGAATACAAAAATAAGGTAAATTAAAAAAGACTCTGTGTTAAATCATAAAAATGTCGTCATCATCATCATCATGTTTTAGATCCAGAGTTTACATCATCATCATCATCATCATCATCATCATCATCATCATCATCATCATCATGTTTTAGATCCAGAGTTTACTTTAACTATAGTAGATGGCACTTGAGTAAAGAAACAACTTTTCGTTTCACTTATTTTTAAGCCTTTATTAATTTCTTCCCTCATCTTTATTGTGTTTTCCATATGCTAATTTTTTGTTCTGTTTATTGAGATTAAAAGCCTTTTTGTCCATTGTGAATTAAAATCAACTAAGGACATAAAAAGGCCAAGTATGGTGGTATACAGCCTTAATTCTAGCATTGGGCAGAAAGACTGAGGCAGAAAGATCACTGGAGACCAGAAGTTAAGAGATCAGCCTATGCAACGTAATAGTGAAACTCTATCAAAAAGTGTAGATCAAGTGGTAGAGCACCTGCCAGCAAACATCAAGACCCTAAGTTAAACTCGGGTACCACAAAAAAAAGTGGGAGGAAAGGGTTTGTATGCATGTGTGTGTTTGCACATGCATGCCAGTCCTGAGGCTTGAACTCAGGGCCTGCGCACTCTCCTTGAGCTTTTGTGCTCAAAGCCAGTACTACCACTTTGAGCCCACAGTTCCACTTGTGGCTTTTCTGGTAGTTTAGTGGAGATGAAAGTCTCTTTCCTGCCCCGGCTGGCTTTGAACCATGATCCTCAGATCTCAGAGTCTCCTGAGTAGCTAGAATTACAGGTATGAGCCAGTGATGTCCATCTGTAATTTTTTTATAAAACAGTAAAAACAAAGATTGGAAATCTTTATGTGCTTTCTAAATCACTTTCCCAATTTTTGTTTTTGCTAATTGCTGAGACTGATTTCCTGTCTCCTGTTTTCAAATTCAAGAAGGGATTGTGAATGTGAGAAAAGATTGGGAACCTATGTAGACTTAGCCTGAGCTATCAAGGAAGTATCAAAACAACCACATGATAAATTTATAGTATAAAATAAAGCAGTAATACACAAAAGGCTTTATTTTCTTTAAAAATACAAATAATTGTTGGGGGTATTTTTATAGGTATTATGATAGAAAAAGGTAGATCTCAAGTCTTAGCTCCGAAATTCTTTCAATCTATATATATATGGGAAGTGTTATTAGCAAGCAAGAAATGGGAACTAGAACTGTAAAAATGAAGTTGGCTGGTTTTTATTTTTGAGACAGGGACTTACTCAAGCTGGCTTCAAAGCTAGGTAGCCCAGGCTGATCTTGAGTCATGATTCTTGTGTCTCAGCTTCCCTCATTCTGTATTACAATGTCTAGCTTGAAGTGTTCACTTATGACAGAATAACACAGTGACAGAAACATGTATAACTAAGTCTTTCTAGTTTCCACAAACAAAAAGTATGTCTATTGTTAACAATTATACTAAATCTCAAATGCCTCCTATTTAACCTTTTTGAGAAGTAACTATATTTTTATATAATTTATTCAGAAAACTGCATTATAAGTTCTTTACAGAGGAAGACCTTTAGAGGAAGAAGAAACAACAAACCTACTAAAAGCTATACAAACGAATAATTTTTTTAAGCTATACAAACGAGTAGCTTTTTTTTAAGTTGGTCCTTTTAAAAAATCAAAACATGACAAAAGTAACATGAGATACCTATGTTTCGTAGAATTTCAACAAGTTTTTCTCTTTTTGAGTACTGGCCAACTTGAAGAATGCTTTGTTGAACATCTCTACATGCTCCACCCACTTGTCCAACAGCAACAAACAAATAATTTGACTTTAAAAACTCCCCAGCCAACCTTGAGAGAGAAAAGATTACTTCTTAGCTTACTTTATTCCAAACATGCTGACAATATCTGCTCATGATGTCCTGCAAGTATTATTTCCTTATTAATTAGCAAACAGTTATAACAGCAATAAGACAAGGCAGTCACATGTCATTCAAGTACAGTCTCCAAAGATTAGAAAATATGTTAAGATTATGTAAAACATAATTACTATCAAAGAAGCTCATGTCAAATTATGGATTCAGCAATTTTTTTCACATTTTAATTTCTTGTTTAGAGGGTTTTTTATTATTCTTTTATTATCTTTAAGTAGCTGTACAAAGGACTTGCCACTTAATAAAGCAGTTTATGAATACAATGTATCTTGATCAACACCAAGGCTTTCAACATTCTCCCCCATCTTTTCCCTACTTCCCACTTCCTCAACTCTTCTTATAGATATTCTGTCTGTTCAAAGACATATACATATAATAAAAACTATGAACTAAAATACTAATTGCAATGAATAAAATTTTACTTAAAAATGGACTTGCTATCCCAAGCAAATAGAACCTGAAAGAAAGCAGGAGTAGCTATACTCCTTTGAAAAAGCAGATTTCAAACCAAAATTTGTGAGAAAAACTAATAAAAGGAACAATCTATCAAAATGATATAATTATAAACATATACATATCTAATTTCTTTAACAAAAGAAAAAAAAGAAATACATTGCTGGGCACCTATGGCTTACCAGGAAGCTCTGATCTTAGGAGGCTGAGATCTGAGGGTCATGGTTCAAAGCCATCTAGCAAGGGAATCCTTGAGACTCTTATTTCCAATTAACTACAAAAAAGCTGGAAGTGGAGCTGTGGCTAAAGTGGTAGAGTGTTGTCTTGATCAAAAAAGCTCAGGGAGGGCTGGGAAGGTGGCTCAGTGGTAGAGTGCTTGCCTTGCATGCATGAGGCCCTAGGTTCGATTCCTCAGCATCACATAAGCAGGGGAAAAAAAGCCAGAAGTGGCGCTGTGGCTCAAGTGGTAGAGTGCTATACGTGAGCTGAAGAGCTGAGGGACAGCGCCCAGGCCCAGAGTTCAGGCCCATTACTGGACCAAAAAAAAGCTCAGGGACAGTGCCCAGGCTCTGAGTTCAAGCCCAGGATTGGTACCAAAACAAACAAACAAAAAAAAAAAACACTACTGGACAAAAGAAGCACAGCTAAGACCCCAAAACAACCACAGATTTGAAGTTAGTGCCTTCAAAATCTCTCAATAGTATCTCTGGGGACCAATTTTCAATACATAAATAAACCTCTTAAGGGACATATCATATCTAAAGCACAACTATGTGCCAGTAAAATCTAGAAGAAATGACAAATGAGCAAATATGATCTCTCAATTCTCTCATATTCTATATGAACCACAATCTATAACAAGCAATGGGACTGAAGAAGTAGCAGCTTTCCAAAAAAAAAGGACAAAGACTGGATGCATTCACTGCTGAATTTTACCACACTTTTGATGAAGCACTAATATCAATGCTCCTCAAAATATTCCATATAAATAGAAAGGGAAGAAACACTTCCAAACTCATTCTAGAAAGCTAGTATTACTCATGACAACATCCCACTTTAGAAAGAGGCCAAAGGTAAAAGTGTCATACTCAGAAGCCATTCCCAGAAAAAAACAGACAAAATAATTGGCACAAAATAATTAAAACTGTGATAAAGTTTTGTTGGTTTTTGGTTTTTTTGGGGGTCCAGTCGTGAGCCTGAACTCTGGACCTGGGCACTGTCCCTCAGCTCTTAAGCTCAAGGCTAGTGCTCTACCACTTGAGCCACAGTGCCATTTCTGGCTTTTTTCTTTTTGCTTATGTGGTTCTGAGGAATCGAACTCAGGGCCTGAGGCATGCAAGGCAAGCGCTCTACCACTGAGCCACCTTCCCAGCCCCTGTGATAAAGTTTTTAAGACTACAATTTCCTTTTAAAAACTCAGCAGGGTTGCCAAGAAGTGCTGGCTCATCCCTGCAATCCAAGCTACCCAAGAGGCTGATATCTGAGGATTGTGGTTCAACGTGTCTGGGCAGTAAAGTCTACAAAAGTCTTATCTCCAATTAACTATCAAAAAAGCTAGAAGTGGAGCTGTTGGTCAAGAGGTAGAACGCTAGCCTTGAGCAAAAAAAGCTCAGTGTCAGCATCCAGGCCCCGAGTTCAAGCCCCAGGACCAGCATGTACACACTTGCGTGCGTGTGCCCCACCCCATCAGTGTAAATATATATAAAGAAGGTACTTTCTAAAAACAGAATATTCATATTACTCTCATTTGATTATAACAAAACCATTTTAAGAAGAAAAATATTTACCTCTGAATTTCTTCTGGAAAAGTAGCACTAAACAAAAGGGTTTGACGTTGTTCTTTTGATGGCATTCCTGGGCAAGAAATCAGCTTCTTCATTTCTGGTCCAAAGCCCATATCCAACATGCGATCTGCCTCATCCAAAACTAAATACTTGACTTGTTTGAGTCCAATCTTTGAGATTATTTTCAAGGGTAAGAACAGATGATACATGCTAGTTTATATTTAAACTAAAATGTTTCCCACAATTTCAACTATTAAAATTTCTTAGGGACAAAAACCAGAAGCCAATGCATAAAATAAAAATTATTAAGCTCATCAGACAAATATTAGGTAATACTATAAAGCTTTTGTAATCTATTTTTTCTAATGTATAAAACATTTTCAAATAAGTCTTTAAAAAAAGTAATCTATAATCAATACTTCACAATAAGAACCTATGGTAAATGAAAAGTTCTACTAGCAGCACTGTGAAACTTCTATTAGTTTTATGAGGCTATTAAACACTTGAAATGTGAGTACTATGACTATGGAACTGAAAAAAAAATTTTTTTGGTCAGTCCTGGGGCTTGAACTCTGGGCCTGGGTGCTGTCCCTCAGCTCTTCAATTCAAGGTTAGGCTCTACCACTTGAGCCACAGCACCCCTTCCAGTTTTCTGAATGGTTTACTGGAGATAAGAGTCTCATGGACTTTTCTGCGTGGACTAGCTTTGAACCACAATCCTCAGATCTCAGCCTCCTGAGTAGCTAGGATTGCAGGATGTGAGCCCCAGCACCGGGCTAGAACTCAATTTTTAATTTTATTATTTTAAAATTTAAATAGCAACAGGTAGATAATGGTTTACTTATATTGGACAGCACAGATCTAAACTATATTATCTGATGAAGTCAGACTCATTTAAGAAATGAACTCTAACATTATCTGAATGTCTTATAACTGGTAATTTTCTTCTAAACACTTCAAATTCTCCATAAATTAATTCTCCACTCTTTAATCACTCAAGAAGAACTGGGAAACTTTTCTAACCCTTGTATAAACCAAAGTACTATCTCCTATAAGTAGAACAAACTGTCAAAAGAACAAATGACTTGGATAGCATATAGACACTTAGCAAAACTTAAGGGAGAATTGTAAAAATGCTGTAGCGAGGTTACAGACAGTTACACGAGTAAGTCATTGAATACATTATTTGTCGATCATTGTTACCCCTTCCCTTGTTGTTGTCATACTATATCTTCCCTCCCCTACCTCCAGCACTCCTCCCCACCCCACCCCACCCTGAAGTTGTAAAGTTTGTGTCCAATATACTGTCCTGTGGATACCATTGTTGCAAAGGTCCTATGTCCTTGTTTCAGCATTTTGTTATCCCCTTCCCCTCCCCAGATTAGACAAATGTATGTAATACAAGATACCAAAATCAAGTACAGTGACATGATGAAAGCAGAAAAACAGCCCCCAAACAAAGAATCAGGTAAACACAGGCAGAATCTAGGTGACCCAGACCCTAAGAAGGTGGGTAACATGACAGGGAACTACCAAACACCTCTCAATTCTAACTCTCAATAATGGACTTAATTCTCCAATAAAAACGACATAGAATCTCAAAAATCAGGATCTGTCTATCTGCTGTTTTCAAGCGATTCCCTATACAAAGACAAACATATTCTGAAAGTGAAAGGCTGGAATAAATTCTACCTTAGCTACTTTTGCTCAAGGCTAGTGTTCTACCACTTGAGCCACAGCATTACTTCTGGCTTTTTCTGAGTAGTTTATTGGAGATAAAGAGTCTCATGGACTTTCCTGCCTGAACTGGCATGGAATCCTGATCCTCAGTCTCTTAAGTAGTGAGGATTACAGGTGTGAGCCATTGGCAAGTTCTAGATGCTAAAAGTATCCTATAAAGATATCTTCATGCAAAAAGAGAACATTTTTAGTCATCATCATAGCTAAAGTGGTACAGCAAAGGCCCTTAATTTAAACTCCAGTACTGTAAGAACAAACAGAAGAACATTTTAAGTAACACTTTTAGAGTACAAGAAAGCAAATAAGGTTTATTAAAGTGTTGATGTAGAGATGTACAAGGGTGGTATGTAAATTCCTAAATGAGTATACAGTCTAAAAAACCTCTTTTTAGAACTTTGTAAGTGGCAGAGATCAGGAGGATCTCTGAGACTGCACTTTAATCAAAAAGCTGAGAATGGTGGCATGTGTCTATAATCTTAGCTATATGGAAAACATTCTTGGTAGGATGATTTCGGTTCAAGGCCACCACTAGGCAAAAATACAAGCCCCTATCTAAAAAAGAAGGGCTAGAGCATGGCTCAATTAGTAAAGCATTTTTCAAGCAACTCTGAGTTTAAAAAAAAAAGGAAAACAAATTATTTTAAATAAGACTTAGCAAATTAACAATCTACATTAACATCATTCACAACTCATAACAGGAGACAAAATTATAATAACCCAGATCCAAAAGAGACTCCAAGACACTCAGTTAAAGGATCTAGGAACTTTATTACCACCATGCAGGGACTGCTTCCTACCACCAGGAAAGTAGGAAAACAGCCTTGAGCTTAGGGTAGGATGGGTTTTTATAGGGATAGGTTACATAGTTACATAGACGAGCCATGAAAGTCATATTTGGCACATTTTCATTGGTTATAGCTATATGACCTTTAAATTCATTTGTTCTTTATGGTAAATTTCATATGTATTAAATTGCAATGGGCTGCCCATAGTGGGACCACCAGTGGTGGTTTTCAATTGGTGGGCTTAAGGTCCTATTACTGAGGCAAGCAAGGTTCAGAAGCAAAACATAGCAAAAACATAGTCTTGAGTCATATGAGCATAGGCAAATCATAATCTTGACTTGGTCAGCATGACCAATACTATCAATGCTATTGACATTATTACAGAAATCTGACCAATACAGCAATTCAGTGCAGCTGGTGATAAGCCTCAAGGTTGTCAGAAGCCTTCTGCAAAGCTGGCAACTTGGTAAACTTGAGTGAGGGAGAGATGTTCTTTTGATTTTTAGCAAGGATGGAGAAGGGGCAAAGGCTGACTACTGGTCAGCCTTTGTCTGGGATTTTTCTTTACCAAGAGATTTTGCCCTCTATCAGTAATTTTGTTCTGTTTTCTGATTTCACATGTTAGTTCCCATGGATATTCTTTTCCCAGGGAAAAGGGTGTCCCAGGGAGATATAGGAGGAACTTTCTGCCAGTAAATAGCAATTCAGCTATTACAAACATTAACTGATGTAAAAACATCCTTGTAGAAGAACTACTCACCAAGATACATATGAAAGTAGGTATTTATTTTCCTGCCAATATAATACGACTGATAAGATATGGATTCTAGAATCATACCCAGATTCTAACTCTATTGAATTTATTAGAGCTAACTTAGGAATTTTAAATAAATTATATAATCTTAATGATACTATTTTCCAAATAGAAAAATATTACTATATCTTGGAATTTTTGTGAATATATGCAAAGAACTGATGGAACCTAACAGATAAACAGGTAGTCAGTAAATATATTTTTCTTATTCCATCCCTTTCCTTTCCCCCTATAAAAAAGTTATCCATCTTATAACTTTGTTTTCCTTCTAAGGCTTACCTTCTCTTTACCTATGATATCCATCAGTCTCCCAGGTGTGGCACATAATATATTACAGCCTTGTACTATCTGTCGAATTGAATGACCTAACTGGGTTCCCCCATATATAACAACCGCTCTGATGCAAGTCCTACAGACAAAAAATTAAAAGATGTAAGATAAAATTTGGAAGGACAGAATACAACCACTTTAAGAAAATTAAGTTTTTTTCCAGGAAGAAGTTGAAATGCTAACACTGAAAACAAACAATGAATAGAGAAAATGTATTTTGTAACCTACTTTATAAAGGCTTTTCAAAAATAATGAAAAGTACACTATTTTCCGCTCTAAATTACTGCTTACAAGAAATAGTCGAAGACATGAAAAAAATTTATGAAATGACAAATAACTTTAAAACTTTTTTTAAGTTCAGCCAGGCTCAGACAGTGACTCACATCTATAATATTAGCTAGCTACTCCAGGACAGAAATTGGAAGTATTTGAATTTGAGTCCTGCCTGACCAAAATATTTATAAGACCCCATTTTTAACCAATATAAGCTGGCCATGACTGTGTTTGCCACTCATTCCAGCTATATAGAAAGTATAAATAGGAAGATCACAATCCAAGCCAACCCAGTCATAAACACATGATTTTACTTGAAAAAGAAAGCAAAATACCCAGGCCCAGAGTTCAAGCCCCAAGACCGATAAAAAAAAAAAAAAGAAAGCAAAATAGGCTAGGACATTGATGAAGTAGTACAGCCCCTATCTGGCAAGTGAGAGGCACTGAGTTCAAACCCAAGTATTGCCCAAATACATATATACATACACATATGTATATATACAGATATATACACATAAATATATACAAAAATACAGAAAAAACCAGAACTACATAGCCAAATGTTTGTTATGGGTTTATCTATAATAGCTTCAAGTTTAAATAAAACCCAAATACCTCAAAATAAATAAAATGTATATACATGGACAATTTTAAAGTCATTAAAAATAGATCTGATTATGGAAAACCTGTTTTCTACAATCTAACATTGTATGTAAAAGAGTAGATAATTATCTGGGAATTCCACAGTATATTCTTAAACATGCATTTAAAATTACACACAAAAACACCAGAATTTTCTTATTTTCTATGTCTATCATCTAATTGTTAATAAGCATGTTTCTCTTAAAAAAGGACTTTTTTTCCAAACATCTCTCTCTTTTATTGTGAAAATACTGTACAGAGGAGTTATAATTACATGGGCAAGACAATGAGTACATTTCTTATCAAGTATTGTTCCCTCCTCTTTGTTTCCCCTTCCCATCCCTTCCCATACTCCTCCCCTACTCCCTACCCTATCCTCCCCCCACCTCCCACCAAAGCTGTAAAGTTGGTTTTCGACATAAGGACTTGTACACCTCATTGTTGCAATGGGTCCACCTGTATCCCTAGTTAAACGATTTGTTTTTTCCTTCCCCTCCACAAATTGTACCAACATCAAATACAGTGAAAGTATGGGTTATACCGTGGGGGAGGGACATACAAAGCAACAAAGAAATCATCTTATAAATATGTTAGAAACAATCGCATGAAAGGAAAAACAAAACAAAACAAAAACATTTGAATACTTATCTTGGGTTCATTCCCCTAACATCGATTTATCTGACCTTTTCTGCTTGACTCAGACATATACTAGTTATTGCAAATAAGGGAAACCATAGGACCTATGTTTCTTTGGGCCTGGCTTACTTCACTTAATTAATTTTTTCCAAGTCTTTCCATTTCCTAATAAATGGGGCAATGTCATTCTTTCTGATGGAGGCATAGAATTCCATTGTGTATATATACCACATTTTCTTGATCCATTCATCTACTGAGGGGCATCAGGGTTGGTTCCATATCTTAGCAATGGTAAATAATGCTGCAATAAACTGTACCAGAATCAACTCCAAATGGATCAAAGGCCTCAGAGTCAAAGCAGACACTCTGAAAACATTACAGGATGGAATAGGAGAAACCCTAGGTCTCCTTGGCACAGGCCGAAACTTTCTTAATAGAGACCCAGAAACACAATAAATGGACAAATGGGATTGCATGAAGTTGCAGAGCTTCTGCATGGCAAAGCACATAGCTCGCAAGATTAATAGAAAGCCCACAGATTGGGAGAAGATCTTCACTAGCCATACAACAGACAAGGGTCTCATATCTAAAATATGCCTGGAGTTTAAAAAATTAAATCCTCCAAAAACAAATCTTCAAAGAAACAACTTCCCAATAAATAAGTGGGCTAAAGACTTAAAGAGAAACTTCTCTGAAGAGGAAAGGATGGCCAATAGACACATGAAGAAATGCTCAGCCTCCCTACCCATAAAAGAAATGCAAATCAAAACAACATTGAGATACCACCTCACCCCAGTTAGAATAGCTATAATCAAGAACTCCAGGGCTGGGAAGGTGGCTCAGTGGTAGAGCGCTTGCCTTGCATGCTTGAGGCCCTTGGTTCGATTCCTCAGCACCACATAAGCAGAAAGAAAAACGCTGGAAGTGGCGCTGTGGCTCAAGTGGTAGAGCGCTAGCCTTGAGCTGAAGGGCTGAGGGACAGCGCCCAGGCCCAGAGTTCAGGCCCCAGGACTGGACTCAAAAAAAAAAAGAAGAAGAAAAGAAAGAACTCTAATAACAACAGATGCTAGAGGGGATGTGGACAGAAGGGAACCTTACCTGCATTGTTGGTGGGAGTGTAAACTTGTTCTACCACTTTGGAAAGCAGTATGGAGGTTCCTCAAAAGGCTCTACATAGAGCTCCCCTATGACCCAGCAATCCCACTTTTGGGCATTTACCCAAATGATCACAAACAAGACCACACTAAAGCTACCAGCACGACTAGGGTTAAAAAAGAATTCTTTAGCCAGGAGCCAGTGGCTCATGCCTGTAATCTTAGCCACTCAGGAGGCTAAGATCTGAGGATCATGGTTCTCAGCCAGGCAGTTAAGTCTGTGAAACTCTTTTCTCCACTAATCTACCAAAAAAACCTGGAAGTGGAGTTGTGGCTCAGTAGCAGAGCCCTAGTCTTAAGAAAAGAAGCTTAGAGACAGCACCCAGCCCTTAGATTCAAGCCCCAGCACCAGCCTAGAAAAAAAAAGGATTATTTACACAGTATTATGAAAAAAATATACTGCTACCTGCTACCAAGTAATGCTAAAAATTGTATGTGATTACTGAGTTATCTTTAAAATAAGTGAGGAAAATCTAAGAAAACCTATTCCAGATATTCTTACCCAAAAGAAAATTTTCTGGCTTCCAAATAAATCTGATTGATCAATTCTCGAGTTGGTGCTACAATAATACACTCTGGTTCCTGAAGTTCTTTAAAGCGACTTGCAGTTATTCCATCACGCATCAGATGAGCCAATATAGGCAAGAGAAAAGCCGCCTGCAAATTATATAGCCTAATTTACAAACTTACAACGCATTATTTTCTTCCTACATAAAGCTAATTCTTATGCCCTTACAGCCTTTAAGGTTCTCTTAAAAGTTTTTAACTTCAAGGTAACATTTAAGTATTCACACTTATACAGCATTTGTTATAAAATGAAAATACTCATATATTCTAAACAGATTACTGTTATTAGCTTACAGAGGAATATGTAAATCTAATTAGCTACAGGCTACTGCATTTAGAAGTCTAAATTAGACTAATTAGACTTTGGAAGTAATAATAAAATAATCACAAATAGAAAAATAACTGGCCAGGTGCCTGTGGCTCACACTTGCAATCCTAGCAATTCAGGAGGCTCACAATCTAGGGTCACAGTTCAAAGCCAGCCCAGGCAGGAAATTCTATAAGACTCTTATCCCCAATAAACTATTCAGAAAAATCTGGAATTGGTGCCATGGTTTAAGTGGTAGAGTGGTAGCCTGGAGCACAGGGACAGTGCCCAGATCTGGAGTTCAAGCCTCAGGACAGCAGAAGAAAATAATAATAATGATAATGATAATAATGATGACAACTGGTTTTTATAGGTAGTGCACAAATCTGGAAATTATCTGGATTTCTGAACATATCTTATTCAAGTTCTATCAGACATACAAATTTTATACTATAGTATTCTCATTTAAGCAAGTAAGTACCTTACAAAATCTAACTCCAAAGCCATGTTTAAATCACTCATTAGCTGCTATATTATACAACTCACCTATTATAATTCTATGTCAGAGACTAAAACTAAAATGGTATGGACCAGGATTCTACAATTCTAGAAATAGTCTCATCTCATGGAAACCCTATTTAACAAATAAATTCATCATATTAGTCTTAAAACCAACTTGATTTCATTAATTTCTTTGCAAATTATCACAACACGAGGCTACATTTAAGTAAAGATCTTATACAATACATATAGCTGTTTCTTATCTTTACCTTTTGACTCCAAGTTTCTACTGGCTATATTACAGAAATTATTTTCTTCAATGTATCATACTGAGTCACACTGGGTGCTTTTGATGTTAATTTTGTTTTAGCTAATACTATGTCCCAAAAAGAATTAAACCCACTCAGAAATATACAACAAAACCCTAGAAATATTCAAAACTTTTTCCTCAGAAGTTTACAAACTTAAAATCAGAAACAAAGTCATGAATATTTATGACAGGTCACTGAAACTATAAAATGTCTATCCAACCTATAAAACTTCTATACAGAGTTTGGACAGAGGGCAGAATACATTTGGAAAAATGACTTACAGTCTTCCCAGACCCTGTTTGAGCACAAGCCATCAAATCTCGTCCAGCTAATATAATAGGAATACTGTATTTTTGCACAGGTGTAAGCTTAGTATAACCAGCTTTGGCAATGTTGTTACTCAATGTTTGACAAAGATTAGCTTCTTCAAAAGTCTTTAAAAAGAAAAGAAAGGGAATAATTAGACTTCACATACCTATCGTATGTACATAATTTCAGAAACATATTCCATTTGAACTAGTTGGATGATTTTACTACATATACTAAAATTACCAATATGTTCCCCATTGAAAAGTAAATATCCAAGCCGAGTGCTAGTGGCTCACATTTATATTCCTAGCTACTCAGGAGGCTGAGATCTGAGAATCCCAGTTCAAAACCAGCCTGGTCAGGAAAGTCCATGAGACTCCAATTAACCACCTAAAAAAGAAACTGGAAGTGGAGCTGTGGCTCAAAGTGCTGGAACACTAGTCTTGAGCACAAAAGATCAGTGCCCAGGCCCTGAGTTAAAGCCCACAACCAACAACAACAACAAAAAAAAAAGAAAAACAAAAACAAAAGTATCCTAAGCATATTTATTATGGCTGATAGAACTATTCCCTACAGACAGTGTTCTCAAAACATTGTTCTGTCCCCTTAAACCTGTAAGATATCAATTTTTTAAAAAGAATGCTAATCAGTAAAGAGAGCTCATTATAAGCATAATTATTAACAGGAGACAGAAGAATCCCTCCCTCAACTCTCTTTAGAAAATCTACTCCCACAAAGGCACATACTTAGAAAGTGAAGATATCTAATCTCTAGAAAAACTGTCCTTCTTAAACAGTGAAGTTCAAAAAGAGTTCCATTCTAGTATGGTAAGTGAAGATGAACTTAGTAGTCTCTCTTTTGCCGCAACAATTAATTCTACTTAAATTAGTAGATATGTTTCTAAATTTCCAACAAGACATTAGATGCTAAAAATAATTCTGTATTAATATCAACTTAAAATACCATGTACTTTTAAAACCAAAGTATACTATATATCAATTTAGAAATAATACACTGACCAGAATTGCTTGTGGTGCCTCATGTCCAGATACTTCTACAAGAATAGTGTCATATTTGTCAAAGTTTATGCCTGTCTGATAATGTGCAAAGATGGAATCTTCATCCTCTGGTGGAGGAGGGGGTATGTAGGTTACTTTCGGTCCTTGGATTAAACAACAACAACAAAAAAAGTTTACATTCTGCCAACTAGCAGCATAAGAGAAAATAGAAAAAAATAACAAAATCAAGTTTGGGGCTTACCAGTAAAGTTCTCACTGTTCAAATTTTTAAAATTTAACTCCACATTATGTATTTTTAGTAAAATGCAATATATATACTCAAAAGGATCATTCAAATGTCAAAATACCTTGAACGTCACCACTTTCTCCTCCTTCAGCTTCTGACTTCCAAGAATCTTAAAGGTGATTAAGCCAAAAAGTGATAGTTTTTAGAAATCAAGAGGTAAAATGAATCTCATTACAAATATCAAATTATCTAAAGTAAAAACTTACTCTTTCCAGTGCCTGTTATTACTTCTTCATTTAAACCTTTATAACCACCTATTAAAGAAATTCATAGTGACAGTCAAGATACAAAGTATACCACATCTTAATTTTCACTACTTGTCTTCAAAGAGGACAAGTCCTAGAAGTTCATACATCTTTAAAGGCATTTCTTAAAAATGATGGTGGAATGCTTGCTTAGCATGGGTGAGACCTGTGTTTGATTCCTAACACTAAATAAAATTAGAATCCTGGTATTCAAAATGCTGATTTTATGCAGATGAGACTATGCTATTTTTTACTTATGCAAAGTACTATATTTCCTTGAAAAAAAACCCTAAAATTCATCTTGAAAAGTACCCTCAAACTATCTCCAGTGTATGATTTGCTAGGGACCAATTACTCATGGCTATGATGCACTACAGTGAAATAACAAAGAACAAAACCAGCCAAGAGATGAAAAAGGTAAGGCAAAGCTTAGAGAAAATGAGGTACAACCTGCCAAGAATATTCTCCTAGTGAAATCACAAAGTTAGGACAATGTAAGAGAAAGAAATGTTAACTACCAGACTTGCTTATCAGAGACTCAATACCCAGAGTTTCATTGGGGAATAATAATGCATCTTCTTGTTGCATGTAATACACAATTTCCAACTCTTGGAAGGAAAATTAAAATCCAGAAAAAACTATGTTGTTTGTACAAATAAGTTCAAGTTCTCAGATACTAGCTGTAATGGTAATTTTAGGTTTCAATTTAACTAAATTAAGGATATACAGAAAACTGGTAGGCATTATTTTCTGGTTATGTTTACGAGAATATTTCCAGAAGAGATTGGTATTTCAATTAATGGACAGAAATGGGCAGGTACCAAATAGAACAGCCCTCTTCTGGAGCTGGCTGCCCTTCTTTCCCTGCCCTTAATCATTAGAATCCTAGATTCTCCAGTCTTTGGACTCCAGGTCTTTCATCAGCAGCTCCCAATCAGGTTCAGGCCTTTGCCTTCAGAATGAAAGTTATACTAGTTTCCCTGGTACTAGGTCCTTGACAGTTGGCCTGAGTCATGCTACTGTATTTCCTGATTCCCAGCTTGCAGATGGCCTACTGTTTAACGTCTAGCCTCCTTACAAAGTGAGACAATTACTCTAATAAATTCCCCTTTCATTAATCTATATGCTGAGAACCCTACTTAATAATATACTAGCCAGAAACCAACTTTGTATAAGGATTTCCAATTCCATCTATTGGCTAATTCTATTTGAAGAGCAATTTGGTCTGCTAACTTTCTTCTATGAGCTATCTTTTCAACTTTTTTAGATAATAATAATCTATAATACTTTTAGGTACTATGATTGTCAAAGTTAATACATTACATTTTTTACATGTGAGCTAATTTTCTGTACATGGTCTTGAAATCCTTCTTCATAAACGATGTGAGCATTAATAAATTTTTCTATACTGAAAAAAATTTGTAAAAATCCAAGGGCTTGGAGCTTTATAACATGCACTCAGACTACTGAGTACTGATAATTTTTTTTGTTTTTTGTTTTTTTTGGGTCCGGTCATGGGGCCTGAACTCTGGGCCTGGGTGCTGTCCCTCAGCTCTTCAGCTCAAGGCTAGTGCTCTACCACTAGAGCCACAGCGCCACTCCTGGCTTTCTTCTTTTTGCTTATGTGGTGCTGAGGAATCGAATCCAGGGCCTCTGGCATGCAAGGCATGTGCTTTACCACTGAGCCACCTTCCCAGCCCCAAGTACTGATAATTTTTTAAGACATCAAATATTGTTTTGTGCTTACAAATCATACATTTAAGTAACACCCTGAAAAAAGTTCAAAGCAAAAAAAATCACAATGAACTAACTTTATTCTTTAGACCAAATTAAATAACTATACCAAGATTAGCTTACTTTTCATACTTATTTCAACACACAGATAAATATATTTCAATATTTAACACCTGCACAGTATATCTTCATGATAAAACTTTAGATACTTCTTAAATTTTTACTTAAGTATAAATGAAGACTCTAAACATCCTTATACAAGCATTTACAAATACATCTATAGTATAAAATTCCTATAATGAATGTCTATATCAGAAAATAACCTGGAGAATATTAACAAAATTTTCAATACAGGGTATGTAAGATATTCCTTACAGTGTCTAAGGACAGTAACAATTACCTTTACAATCATTTTAATCTCCAATATATAAATCAAATAAGAACATACCTCGTCCACTACCACTACCACTTCTGCTTTGGAAAGTGTCACCATTACCTGTAAGGCATTGTTTTACAGAATATTTAGCAAAAGCACTGATCCCTCTATTGTATGTAAATCAGTTTTTCTCTAGTCAATACTGAGAAACTTCTTAGAAATCCTTTAAATCTTTTTTCCCTAGATTTAAGTCTTACCTTTATTTGAACATTTTTCATCTATAATTATGGGAGACTTTTTTCATTTCTCCTCAAATTGCACAAACTGTTTTCCCCTAACTTAGAAAGCTTTCTCTGAAAGCAATGCAAGCTTAATTTTTTTGTTCCTCAAAAGTATAATTCACATCTCATATTAACTGGTATAAAAGAAAAAATAACTATTGTTTGCAAATTTTGAGAAGGCAAAATTATCCTTGTATTTTTGCCTATAGTTCCTACCAGAATTCATGAGCTACCTCATATATAGTTTAGGATTAGGTTTACTAATTAATACTTGTATAGAAATAATTTTCAGCAGTAAGTTTTGTCTTACCTGCACCACTTAAGGCTGGTCTTCTAGAACCAAAAAGACCACTGGCACGCTGTGTTCCCTCATCTTGATCGTTGTTCTCACTACCTTGTTTTGGGGGAAAAATTTAAATTGTTACTTTTAAGAAGTTTCTAATCTTATTCAGTAAGAAAAATTTGAGGGGAAAAATTTAAATTGTTACTTTTAAGAAGTTTCTAATCTTATTCAGTAAAACATCATGGTGTGGTTTCAGAAGTTAGAAGATGTAGGGATAAAAAATTACTATCAGTATTTTTCTAAGTACAGCACACAAATTATAAATATCTCAAAAAATTGGACTAATGGTGTCGTACAAGAAGAGAACTAGCTTTGAGTGTAAACATTTTTATTAAAATTATTTTATAAATAAATTAGGGACAACTGCATACCAAAATATTATATAAACAAAATCTATCTCCTCTTGAAAGTAGCTCTGTTACTACATCCATACACTTCACATTGCCTCATTTCACTGCTTCTTCTCCAGAATATAGCTGTTCTGTCCCACTGTTGCGAATAATGTTATCAATGAGGTATAGGATTTCTCTTCACTTTTTAGAAAAGATTAATCTGCTATGTATTATTAAATAGCTATTACAAATGTATCTGTTCTTAACTTCCAAAATCATTTATCTGTTCTCACCTGATAATAGACATGTGCTATTTTAATGATGACTTCTGAAGAAAATAGATTAGTGTAGAAAAATAATGACTGAAAAATTTGAGGTAGGAAGCCACACTGACAAAAGAATATATATTGTAGGACAGAGCCACCTATGTATAAGGTCAGCCCTAGCAACATGGCTCTAAAACACTAAACGATATGTGATACTAAAGAAATGGCTTACATAAATTTGAAATAATTCAGGTATTTCAACTTAACCAGTATGTAATTAAATTTGTGTCTGAAAATAATGTGATATATAATGTTGGTCATTAATTTATGGGAGCCAATGTGCTAATACATACTCATTTTAATCCTCTGAGCAAACTCATGTGATAATTTTTTTTATCATTTCCTTTTTAACAAATGGAGAACACCATTTACAATCTACTACTAACTTGGTCTTCCTATACCACCAAATCCTCCACGGCAACCTCGGAAACTACCTCTTCCACCTCTTCTGGGTGGCCCGGAAGCTTCTGATTCATTTCCATCTTGAAAGCCTACAATAGTAAATACACAGAAAAGACACAATAATGACACAATAAAAACAAAGTAATCTTAGAACCACAGTGACAAAATTTAAGCTATGTATAATTCAGTGGTTTTAAGTAAATGCTTTAAAGCATAAATAAAATTATTAAAAAGAAAAGCCACAATTGACCTATGAATGTTCTCCTTTACTGATAGAAAAAACAATGCTTGCTTTGAGAATCAAAACTAAAAGGGGCTGGGAAGGTGGCTCAGTGGTAGAGCGCTTGCCTTGCATGCATGAGGCCCTGGGTTCGATTCCTCAGCACAACATAAGCAAAAAGAAAAAAAGCCAGAAGTGAGTGGCGCTGTGGCTCAAATGGTAGAGCCTTGAGCTGAAGAGCTGAGGGACAATGCCCAGGCCCAGAGTTCAGGCCCCATGACCGGACCAAAAATAAAAACAAAACAAAACAAAGGAGTAAAAGTGTCATTTGACTAAAACACTGAAAGTTGCCACAACTTCACAATTAACTGGTATTTCTATATTTACAGACAGATTAAATAAATCGTAGGCTTATGATTCCTCCTTATAGAAAATAACAATAAACACCTTTTCAAAGCACAGATAGGTAGACACATAAGTCTCATTTCCTAAATACAAAAAAAATTGTGTGTGTGTGTGTGTGTGTGCGCGTGTGCGTGCTTGAGCGACAGTCCAGGCTTGAACTCAGGGCTTGAGCCCTGTCCTTGAGCTTCTTTTGCTCAAGGCTAGTGCTCTACAACTTAAGCCACAGCTCTACATCTGGCTTTTTTAGTAGTCTCACAGACTTTCCTGTCCAGGCTGGCTTTGAAATACAATCCTCAGATTTCAGCCTCCTGAGTAGCTGGGATTACAGGCATAAGCAACCAGAACCCAGCTAAAATAATTTTTAATTCAATTGATATCAATTGAATTCAGTTCAAGTAAAATCTGATTCTACCTAGGTCAAAACAGTTTGCAAACCAAAGTGACAATTACAGAGGGAAAAAAATTGAGAATCTGATTGTTGTCTACTTGTCTCCCTGGTGGATTAAGTATATCTTTATCCTTAATATAGATTATATTTTCTCTCCTATTTATATATAAACTTTTGGGGGTTAATATTATCTTATATTTTTCTTATTTTCAACTCTGCAATGAAATTTGTTTCTTAGGTTTGTGGGTTTTTTTCTGGGGAGGAGGGGGTAACACATATGCCTTCCATGTACATGTGGGGGCCAGTACTAGGGCTGGAATTCAGGGCCTTGCACTCTCATTTGACTGTTTCCACTCAATGCTGGTAGTGTAACCTGAGCCACACTTCTACTTTCAGCTATTTGCTAGTTAATTGGAGTTTGGAGTCTCATGGACTTTTCTATTTGGGCTAGCTTTTACTCAACCTGTGATCCTCAGAGACTGCAGCCTCCTGAATAGCAAGGATTGCAAAAGCTACCAGGGACTGGCACTGAAATATGTTTACCTATATTACAAGTAATGATACATAGATTTTTGTTTCTAACATCTTAGTTTTATAGTTTTTCCTTTAATGTTTCTTTAATGTTTTTGTTTTGTTAATCTTTCTACCTAATTTTACCCAAATGATGTAATATATTTTTATCAATTTCTTCATGAACATTTCAGGAATCTTTAAATTATTTTAAATCTATTTTTCTTCTTCAGAGTTCTATTAGACTTTCTCTGATTTCCTTTCAACTTAATATATTTAAGAAATCTTTTAGTTTTTATTTTAGACAAGCTGACAAAGAACACCTATTATTTTTGTTTTTTAAATACCTAATAGTTGTTGCTCTTTTACATAATCAATACTTATCAATTTATTGATAAGCCTACAAATGAAACCATTTTTATCTTTTTCTGGTTCATGATTCTTTTTTTTTTTTTTTGTGGGGCTTGAACTCTGGGCCTGGGCGCTGTCCCTCAGCTCTTCAGCTCAAGGCGAGCGCTCTACCACTTGAGCTACAGCGCCACTTCCAGTTTTCTGGTGGTTTATTGGAGATAGGAGTCTCACGGTCTTTCCTGCCGGGGCTGGCTTTGAACCACGATCCTCAGATCTCAGCCTCCTGAGTAGCTAGGATTACAGGCGTGAGCCACCAGTGCCGGGCTTCTGATTCTTAATTTCTACTAATTTCTTTCTATATTTTTTACCTTCTTACTACTGTGTATGATTTAGTAATTCTTTCTGCAATGTTCTGAGAGTATTAGATACTATTATCTGAGTGGTATTATTTCTCCATAGCACCTAAATATCTGAGTACACTAGTTTGGGTTATCCTCAGCATTTGAATTTACTATTTTATATAATGACAATCTTTACTAAAGAAAAACTTCTGTTGCCAAGATATTGTACTTTAACAAGTAAATCTTTTCTTTTTTCCTCTCAAGCTTATTTTTTAATTTGGAAATACTAAGCTTTATATATATTTATATTTATATAGGAATGAGCATGAGTTTATTTCTGGTTAATCAAGATTCTGTGCCTTTTTAACTCTGGGAAGGTCATATATTCTTTTTTAATGTTCTTCATTCCATATTCTCTATCCTCTCCTTGGGAGATATTTTACTATATGATAGACAAGCAGGCATTCTTGGTCTATTTTACATATCTTTTAACTTTATTCTTATTTCCCATTTCCAATTTAGAGAGTTTCTCCAGTCTATCTTTTGATTCATTTATTTTATTCATTTGTGATTAATTTGCTTAACCCATACATTATGCTTTTACTTTTTCTGTAAGTATAAGATAGGTCCTTTTTAAATTTATCTCCTGTGTCTGAGCCAATGACTATACAAGGCCTCAGCATCTCTATACCTTAATGTCTCCAAACATAATAGAAACATACATTTAAAGAAAATGCTTTTTTCTTCAGAGTTGATGGTAGTTTCTAGTTATGTTAGAACAGCAACTAGAACTGAAACATGGGTATTATGTAGAATTATAAAGAGAGAAGCAGAAACTATTTCATAGAATCTTATGAATCATTTTTGTTAAAGAAATAAGTTAAAGAATAAGATACAGAGTTAAAGCTGGGAGATCCTGGCTCACTGTAATCTTACTCAGGAGACTGAGACTAGGTGGATCATGATTCAAAGGCAAACCAGGCAAAAATATCCATGAGACTCCATCTCCAACTAACCAGCAAAATCAGACTAGAAGCATGGATCAAATGGTCAGTAACAACTGTGGACAAGAAAGCTGAGTAAGAGCATCAGGCTCCAGTACAAGGCCCAGAGTTCAAGCCCACAATGGCACAAGAAAAGGCACAACGTTAAAAATAAACAAAAGTCACACTTTTAAAATAAAATATTGAATTAAGAAGTCAAAAACAGACATATTAACACTTTATAAAGTATCGAGTATGTACACTAATGTCAAAATAAGATATCTCTGGGAAGAAGAAGTTACTTGCTCCTTTGGGCTATCCAACAGTTCTTTTTTTTTCTGGCATGAAATAAATGAGACAATGTTCCCACTAAAAATATAGGTAGTCATATATACATATTTATAACAGAATAATTTTAACTTTTATAGTGACTAAGATATTTAAAAATTAACCTTTTTTTTTGGTCGGTCATGGGGCTTGAACGGTGGGCCTAGGCATTGTCCCTGAGCTCTTTAAACTCAAGCAAACACTATACCTTGAGCCACAGCACCAATTTCAGTTTTTCTGTTAGTTGAAATAAGAGTCTTATAGACTTTCTTGCCCAGGCTGTCTTTACTGTGATCCTCAGAGCTCAGCTCCCTGAGTAGCTAGGATTACAGGCATGAACCACTAGTGCCTGGCCAAAAATTAACCTCTTTAAAATGTCACTTTACGTCTAACATAACATTTTGGAGGAACAGTAATGAAAATCAAACCCAGGGTATCATGCATTTATTCTCCAACTGAGCTATAATCCCAGCTTGAACATCAACTTACTTTGAAAGATAATAAAAGTCATATTCTAATGGAGGCATAGAATTCCATTGTGTGTGTGTATCACATTTTCTTGACCTATTTATATACTAAGGGGCATCTGGGTTGCTTCCTTATCTTAGCTATGGTAAACAATGCTACGATAAACATAATTGTGCTGGTAGCTTTAGTATGGCCTTGTTTGTGATCATTTGGGTAAATGCCCAAAAGTGGGATTTCTGGGTCATAGGGGAGCTCTATGTGTAGTCTTTTGAGGAACCTCCATACTGCTTTCCAAAGTGGTTGAACAAGTTTACATTCCCACCAACAATGCAGTAGGGTTCCCTTTTGGCCACTGATACTGCCCCATTTGTTAGGAAATGGAAAGACTTGGAAAAAATTATATTAAGTGAAATAAGACCCAAAGAAATATAAGTCCCATGGTTTCCCTTATCTGCAATAACTAGTATATGCCCAGGATAAGCAGAAGAGGTCAAAAGCTATGTAAATATGACCATATAACCTGATGCTAAGCAAAATGAACCCCAAGAGAGGGACACAAGAGATTTTATCTTTCTTGTTATTCTTTTTAATGTACTTATCATGTACTATGTAATTTTTAACAAGTTTTTTATTGTAAAAATACTGTACAGAGGGGTTACAGTTACATGAGCAAGGTAATGAGTACAGTTCTTATCAAGTATTGTTGCCTCCTCCTTTGTTTTTCCCCTACCATCCTCTTCCCTCCCACCTCCACAAGTACTATGTAATCGATTATTTTTTTCTTTGTATGTTCTTCCCCCATGGTACAACCCCTGCTGTCATTTTTCTAATTTGGGGAGGGGAAGGGAAATAACAAAATGCTGAAATAAAGATACAGTATGACCCATTGTAAAAATGAGATGTACAAGACAGTATGTTGAAAACTAACTTTACTACTTTGCCGAGAGAGGTGGGTTGGTAGGATTTGGGGGGAAGGGATGGTAGGTGAAAAACAAAGGAGGGGGTAACAATGCTCGATAGGAAATGGACTCATTTCCTCTGTACAGTATCTTTACAATAAAAATTTTAAATTAAAAATATATTCAAATAGCATCTCAAAAAAGTCATATTCTTCATTTCATAAAGGACAGATCACAATCTCTTGCAGGTCTTGAAGATGTTTGGTAACTATCTTCAGAAAAGAAAGTTCATAAATCACTTAACTCTTATGTAAAAGAAATGTAAGTATTTCTATTTTATAAACCACTTGCCAGAAATTTATCAACGTCATTAAGCCTTCAATATACAAAATCCACTTGTATTTTACATACAATGAAACATAGAATGAAAATTTTAAGAGATACGCACTACTGATTATCAATGAAAATGAAAAATAAGTAATTATACATTCTCCTACTCCTTAAAATGAAGAAAAGGAACAAAATTTTCAAAATTAAGTTTTATACAAAGGCTGGAGCAACTCGGGGGGTTGGGGAGGAAATACATATTGGAGATGAGCCAGGCACTGATGGCTCATACCTGTAATCCTAGCTTCTCAGGAGGTTGAGTTCTGAGGATTGTGGTCTGACAGCAGCATGGGCAACAAAGTCCTTTACAATAGTATCTCTAACCAGGAAAAATCTGAAAGTAGAACTATCACTCAAGTGGTAGAGCTCTAGCCTTGAGCAAAAAAGCTTAGAGACAGCACAAAACTCAGGCTCTGAGTTCAAGCCTTAGGACTGGCACCAATAATAATAATAATAAGGCTAGTGATTATAAACAGAAAATTTTGTGGCATTTTAATTTACTTTAGTCTCATTTGTTGGCTGTTCCACTGCTAGTTAAATGACCAAAAGATTTGAAAACAGAGACTCAAAACAACTGTAACATTCATAGCAACATAATTTACAATAGCCAAAATGGACAAACAAAATGGTGGCAAATATATACAATAGAATATTTAACCATAAAAAGGAATATGGTTCTAATACATACTATAATATGGGTGAATATTTAAAACATAATGCTAAATAAAATCAGCTGAAGAGGACAGGGTAAACATTATCATTCCAGTTGCAGGCAAATTCATAGAGAATATAGAACAATAGAAGTGGCTCATGGCTGGTAATCCTAGCTCCTGAGTTCTGAGGATCATGATTCTAAACCAGCCCAGAGAGGAAAGTCTGTGAGACTCTTATCTCCAATTAACCACCAAAAAGCCAAAAGTGAAGCTGTGGCTCAAATGGTAGAATGCTAGCCTTCAGCAAAAAGGGTCAGGCTCAGCGCTTAGGCCCTGATTTCAGCCCAAGGACAGGCACACATGCATACACATGCACACATATGCACATGTGCACACACACACAAACTCACAAAATTACCAGAGAGTAGGTATGAATTGTTGCCAAATGGGCATAGGGTGATAAGAGAGATGATGACTGTACAACACTGTGAACATATTTAACATTTTCAATTTAAAATAGCTTTAAAACTAAAACCAGAGGAGGATATTCTTAGGAGAGGATCACAAAGGCTCAATAGCTATATTCATATGATCATATAAAATGATATTTATCAAAATGAACTTCAAGAAATGGAAACAATAGGTTGTTGTTATTTTGCTTTTTGTTTTTGTTTTCCTTCTTTGTCGCTTTGTCTTGTATGCAAGTTTATCTATTTGGGGGAGGATTGAGGGAGGACAGAAATGGTGAGACAAAGGGTGAACAAATGATACTCACTAGACACTCTGTTGAAAATGAACTATATAATTTGTGGGGTAGAGGGGTAAGGAGGGAAAAAAACTAGGAGAAAACAAGAGAAAGGTAACACTGTTGTCTTACATAACTGCAACCCCTCTGTACATAACTTTTACAATAAAAAAATCCAATACAAGGAAAAAACTAGCATTTTAAACAGCTAAAAAGTCAAATTATAAGTATTTTCACAAAAAAAGCAAAACCCTTCCCAAATTTAATGAAAAAGTATCAATCTGTGCATCCAAGTTCAATTGAAAGGTGGATAAATCCAAGAGCCATACCTAATGCATCAATATAAAGCAGCAACAAATGATACCAGGATATCTAGATATTTGCCAAAACAAAAACTTGCCTCATACCATGTGTGCAAACAAACTCAAAATAGATCAAACACTTATATATATGAGCTAAAACTATGAAATTTTAGCATAGAAATACAGGAAAAAATCTGTATGATTTCAGATTAGCTAAATTTTCTAGATATGACACCCAACCACAAGCAGCCAAAGAAAAAAACATAAATCTGATTACATAAAAATTTCACTTTGGAAGTAGTGTTGTGGCTTAAGTGGAAGAGCACTGGCCTTGCGTGAAAAAGCTCACTGGATAGCACCCATGAAGTTCAAATTTCATGACTGACTGAAAAAAAAAAATTCACTTTGGTACTTCAAAAGATATCATGAAAAAAAGTGAAGACAACACGCATCAATGGCTGATTCCTGTCATCCTAGCTACTCAGGATGCCACAATCAGGAAAATTGCAATTCCAGTCGAGCCAGTCGAGCTAGTCCAGCCAAAAAAAGTTCAAGAAACAACAGGAAAAAAAAAGCAGAGCACTGTGGTGTATACCTGTCATCGCAGCTATGGCAAGAAAATCAAACAGGAGACCCTATCTGAAAAGTAAGAGCTTAAAGGGATTGAAATATCTCAAGCAGAAGACCTGCAGAACCCTCCTGAGTTGAAACCCTAGTACTGTTCAAGTTTTTAAGTAAAGACAATTCAAAGGAAGGTAAGAAGATATTTTCAAATTATGCATCTGATAAGAGTGATAATGAGAATGTGTAAATAACTCATAAAACACTAAAAATCAAATTGCCAGGGGACACAAAGTAAAGAAGTGACACTGCCCAAAAATAAATATACTCATTACCTGACTTATGAAATGGTAATCCTTTGTATATCATACCTTAATAATAATACAAAAGTTAAATCAAATTTCCAACTATTAAAATGAACAATCTGCACACTGATTTCTCCAGAGATACACAAATGTTCAATAAATACATGAAAAGCTGCTCAACATCAAAGTCGCCATAAAATGCAAACAAAAACTACAATAAGGTACCCACTTATATGCTAGCATCAAAGACAGACAATAATTAATATTGGTAAAGATGTGAAGGAACCAGAAACCCAGTACACTGACACCAGGAATGTAAAATGACGTAGTTTCTATGGCAAACAATTGCTAATTTCTCAAAAAGTTAAGCATAAGGCAAGGAGATTTTATTCCAGAAAATGAAGGCATGTTCAAAACCTTGCACACAAATGTTTATATAATGCTATCGCCAAAATTAGCTATGTTGGCCAAAAGTGGAAACTACTCTCATTGTGTCTATCAACTGAAGTATCAAAAAAAAAAAAAACCCATGGTATATAATGGATGATAAGCTTTGATTCGTAGGCATTAGTGAGTGAAAATGAGTATGGGGAAGTGAGGTGCTAGCCACTGATGAACACACCAGGTCTATGGTTTAACTGTTGGAGTGCTTGCCTAACAAATGCAAGGCTCTGATGTCAAGCCCCCCAAAAAAGAAGTAGAAGAAAAGGAAGGCGGTGGAACTGAATGGGAGGGAGGAAGATTAACAAAGACTACTAAATATTCATTTACTAAAGATTTAAAAGCAGAGAGCATCAAGAATTTAAAAGTTCTTCATCACCAGAATTATTCTTATAGCTCTTCTAAATCAGTTTTGTCAGCTTAGTATCTGTCTTAAACACAAATTGTTCAAAAACATTAAATTTTCCTTACCGCCTCTCTTGGAAAACCCTCTGTTCCATGTTTGATTATCTTCACAATCATTATTAGACTCTTGAATAAAAATTTAACATGTCAATAGCACACAAATAATTGACTTTAAGGATAATATCTAAAGAATAGCACTGTTGCAAAGTAAATAATATTTTCATTAAGTTAAAACTAAACACCTTAATTCTTATACATTTAATTATAACATACAATATAAAATATCTAATGTATCTCTGTATTAAGTATATAATTGAAAACTCACTATTTGCCAAGAGCTATTCTTACAAAACAATCTGAAAAATTCATAGATGTCAGTTTGATACAATTTCAGGAATATCTAAACTATTAAGTAATCATTAGAAAAATATGGCTTTTTCTATTTAAATTGTCATTATATTCTAGCTAATGAAGAGGCTAAGATATGAGGATCTGTAATTCAAAGCCAGCCCAGGCAGGAAGATTCATGTGACTCTTATCTTCAGTTAATTGGCAAAAAAGCCAAAGGTCTGGCTCAAGTGGTAAAGCACTGCCCTTGAGTCAAAAAACTAAGGTACATGGGGCTGGGAAGGTGGCTCAGTGGTAGAGTGCTTGCCTTGCATGCATGAGGCCCTAGGTTCAATTCCTTAGCACCACATAAACAGAAAAACCTGGAAGTGACGCTATGGCTCAAGTGGTAGAGTGCTAGCCTTGAGCTGAATAGCTGAGGGACAACACCCAGGCCCAGAGTTCAGGCCCCACAATTGACAAAAAACAAAATGAAACTAAGGGACAGGGGCCCAGGTCCTGAGTTCAAGCCCCAGTATCAGCCCAAAAAAATTAAATTGTCATATATTTTTCTGTATTCATTCATCTGAAATTATTCAAAAAATGAGATTAACAAATAACATATTAAACAATTTTTAAAAACATTTTTAAAATTCAGATTGACAAGTAACATTTCTAGGGTTCAACTTCTAAAGCCTGCTTGAGACTTATCAGGAGAACTGATTAAAAATAATGTCCACGTCTATACCAACATTCTTTTCAGGCCCCGTTCCTGGACCGATAAGTACTCCAGGTGTGCCTTGAAAACTGGACAACTCTTTCAAAGAAAAGTCCCAGGGATCCAGTGGGAATATTAAATGGTATGGCCTTGAGGGCTGGACAACTAAATTCTTAACAAAGAGACCACCCTTAGAAAGTGGCTGCCAAACCTGCAGAGAGTAATTCACAAGCTTTCCAGCACCTTCCTACTCTCTTCCCCATTTTGATGTCCTTATGCAGGTTTTGTAGTGAAAAGGGTCAAGAATAGACCAGTACCATGGAGGCAAGCACTTACAGTAAATTAAAATACCAAAGAAGGTAAGATGCTTGAAATTTTGAAATAATGGATGTGAATAGCCCACTGAAAGATGAAAACTTTCAAAAAAAAGTGCTTAACCTTGCCATGTGGCAAGAAAAAGAAGATATAATAAATAAATATAAATAAACATTTAGAATATTAAAAAAATAATAATAATGTCCAGACCCCACTCCAAGATTTATCCTCAAAGTGTAGAATGATGGCAAGTAATTAATAATTTTTCAAACTACTCCTGAGTAGCTAAGATTACAGAGGTGAGCCACTGGCGCATAGCCAAAATTTAAAGGTTTTTATATTACTAATGTAACTTTAAGCATGGCAGAAAAGTCCAACAAAATCACATTTGTGAAATAAACAGATAGTGTTAAGTAATATTTGTACATGTCACTGATATTTAATATCTAAGGTTTTTATTGTGTGGTACAGGGCCTTGCCCTTACTAAACAAGCCCTCTAATCATCTTAGATATACCCATCTTTTGCTTTTAGTTCTAATTTTTGCTAGCCCCACCTCCTGAGAAGCTGGAATTACAGGTAAGCACCACATCTATCTTTTTTCATTTTGTTCTTTTTTGGTAATACTGGTGTTTGAACTCAAGGCTTCAAACTTGCTAAGCAGGCACTTTACCACTTGAGCCATGGCCCTAGTCTTTGTTGCTTTATTTTGGGAGGTTGGGTCTGACATTATTGCCCAAGGGCCAGGCTTGGATCATGATCCTCTTACCATAGCTTCCCAAATAGCTAGCAAAGATAACTGATCTTTGTTGGCTGAGATTAAGGTATGGCTAACTTTTTGCCATTGCCGACAGAGGAACCATGAGCCTCCCTATCTTCTGTTACCATTATGGGTAAAAATCATTGTGCTGAACTAAATACCTTTCTGAACATAACTGTTAGGAAGAGGAACTGGGTTTCAAATTCAACCTGGATTCCTTATCACCAAGTGGGCAAAACTAGAAATCAGGAAAAACTACCATAAACACGTTTTCAAATAAGACCTTCTATCAGAATCTTAAAAACCCCCTCCAGGACTTGTCAACAATTTTGAGAATGAAAGAATTTGATACAAATTTCTTATTTTCGGTGAACTAAGAATAAAGAGAAGAAAGTAAACAGAAGTGGAGAGAACAAGTTCTCTCGAGTTCTATGGAAAACTCAAATGCATGCTTATATGTTTACAGAAATGAGTCAACTTGGGAAAGACAGTTTCCCAGATAACAAGACAGAGATCTGAACAAACCATGGAACTCTAAAGTATACTATCTTATAAATATTCTATTGAAGCTGGGCACTGGTGGCTCCTACCTATAATCCTAGCTACTCAGGAGGCTAAGATCTGAAGATCCTGGCTCAAAAGCCAGCCCAGGCAGAAAAGTCCATGAGACACTATCTCAAATTAACCACCAGAAAACTAAGTGGAGCTGTGGCTCAAAGTGGTGGAGCACTAGCCTGAGCACAAAAGTTCAGGGACAACATCCAGTCCCTGAGTTAAAACCTTACCCCATGACCAATAATAAAGTTTTACTGAAAGCCAGATGCAGTGGTATACCCAGCAATCCTAGCACAAGTGAGGCAGAACAATCCCAAATTTGAGGATACGCTGCATTTTGAGTTCCAGGCTAGTTTAAAGCTAAATAGGGAGAGTTTGCCTCAAAAAAAAAAAAAGATTCCATAAATCAATGGTTTTTAAAGAACTGAATCCAAGTTTTTTAAAATACAGGCTTCATTCAAATCTATTCATTAGACATGAGAAAGAAAAGTTATTTATTGTAGTCTCTCTTCTGGGAATAGTATTCTGTTCTCATCATTCTCTGTATTTCCCCAAACCAGAGTATCAATATCTTTGCCAAAAATGTTTTAAATTTTATTGGTAATTTACATTGTTAAGAATCATCCTCCTAAGGGCTGGGAATGTGGCTTAGTGGTAGAGCACTTGCCTAGCATGCATGAATCCCTGGGTTTCATTCCTCAGTACAACATAAACAGAAAAAGCCAGAAGTGGTGCTATGACTCAGGTGGTAGAGTGTTAACCTTGAGCAAAAGCAGCTCAGGAACAATGCCCAGGGCCTGAGTTCAAGCCCCAGGACTGGCAAAAAAAGTCCTCCTCCTAGACTTACTTTAGTCTAAATGGCCCCAGAGATATGAACAAGTGTGAAAGTGAAAAGTATATTATGTTATAAAGATTTTTTAACTGTATTTTTTTTTGTCTTTTCTTTTTTGGTACTGGGGATCGAACCCAGGACGTTGCACTTGCTAGGCAAGCGCTTTGCAACTAAGCTACATCCCAGCCCTGTTATAAAGATTTTATGATTACAACATTAATATATAGAGCGGAGCTGTAATTCTTGATTTGCTCTATTTGCCCCTTTTTCTGAAAATAGCACAATTTTCAAAAGTTGCACCTCATAGATTTTAACTAAAATAGACAGAAATGGGTCAAATTAGAATGCCTTATTTACCTATAAATTAGTAACACCTTTCATTTGGGCTCATATAGCTGCTTTTTAAAACTTGATTTTAGAACTAGATGAGACAAAAATAATACTAATTTCCTTTTAGCATGTGCTGTTGACTTGCATTTTTTAAAATCACTACAAAAGCACCAAACTTACCTTTCCAGAAACCAGAGCTATCACCTTCTTCAAACTTATTATTTGGAAAACCTACACAAAATAAAAAATAAAACCAATTTCTGGAAAAAATTCTACATTTCTGTGTAACTTTCTGCCACCTTATCAACATATAGCTCCACACTCTTAAAATTAAAAGCAACTTTCTTTTCAGCAAATTTTATATTACTTGAAATGTTCTATCAGTATAGCAATATACTTACTGTTTAAACATTTTTGAGCAGGGTGCCAGGGGTTCACATCTGTAATCCTAGTTTCTTATGAGTCTGAGATTTGTAGAATAGAGTTTCCAGGCTAGCCCGTACAAAAAAGTTCTCTAAGACATATGCCCAGGCAGGAAGCCTGATTCTATCTCATTAAAAAAAAAAAAAAAAAAAGGCCAAAGGCACAGTTAGCAGTAAACTCACTCCTGCCTAGCAGTTCAAAACTCCAGAACCAGTGAGCAATGGTGGCTCATGCCTAAAAGCCTAGCTACTTAAAAGGCTTAAATCTGAGGATCAAGGTTTGGAGCCATCCTGAACAGACAAATCTGAGAGACTCTAATCTCTAATTACCCAGCAAAAAAAGCTGGTAAATAAATAAACTTAAAACTTTACAAGTTAACACACAGTCTCATTTACAAAGGACAGTACAACTAATTTTCCAGTTAATCCAGAAATCCTGTTTTCTTTTTGTATAACATTTAACAAAAAAAGTGTTACCAAGCTCCACTTTCAAATTTCTCATTTTATAAAAACCTATGTTCAACGTTTATGCATCTCTAGAACATACAAATATGCCCCTAAAACTATTTTAGAAGCATGCATCAGTAACCATAAAATTTAAAATGTTTTGCCCATGTAATTTACTCTGTATGGTATTTTCACAATAAATTTTTTTAATGTTGCCTCTTTAATAAAATGTATTAATGCAGACACACTAAGGGAACCAGATGTGGTAGTGTCTGCCTATAGTCCTAGCTATTTGAGAGACTAAGAGGGAAAACACTAGCAACAGTACTTTCAAGACCAGTCCAGGCCACATAATGAGACCCTGCTTCAGAGAGAAGAAGAGAGAGAAGGAAAAAAGGGAGGAGAAAGGAAGAAAGGGAAAATGAAAATAAATAAAAATAAACTCAGGGAACGTATATTTGAAAATTAAATGTCAATGTGGAATGCTCATCATCATCATCAATTAGTATTTAAAGTAAATGGACTTTTTTGATACAAGTACTAATACTATCTGGAAAGCTTGTCATTTTATGTACAAAGTATGTACATTTATCTCATTTAGTACCCCAAATTCAAAAAATATGAGGATCCTTCCAGCAATAAAATGCCATGGAAATTTAATATACAATTAGCATGTACTAGCAATTCCCTATAATCTCACTATAAAACTGAATAATTTCCTTGAGATCATTACAAAATATATAAAAATAATCCCTAAATAAAGAATATATTCATATAGTATTTTCACAATAAAAAAAGAATATATTCCAACAAAATCCAAGTTTTGAGTTACTTTACTTACTTAAATATTTCCTATCTTCAAAGCTGCCTGAGAAAATGACCATATTCTACTACCCCTCACAACTGCTGCTTCCTCATTTTCTCTCCCCAAAAAAGAATCAGTGCTGAGTTTCCAAAATGCTTGGGAAAGTCTGTCACCTACACATTAATAAACTTGATCTTAAACTCTAATTTTGACTTATAAGGTTTTTGTAAATATTAAGGGAAAAAATGTAATTTCAAGACTTATACCAATTCTTTGCTCAGCTACAAATATTCACATCTCACATGTTTGTATGTATCTCTGAGTCTTGAGTAAAAGAGCAAAGACCAGGGTTCCTATGTAAATAAAATTAATCTAATAAAAGATGCTGTAGCAAGGAACATGGGTATCTTTCAAACAGGGAAATATAATAGAACACGCATCCAAAGCAATGAAACTGCTGTTTCAAGCTATGACTAGGAAAAGGAAAATGGTAAGACTCCTTTGTGATCTTCATAAATTCTTGAGAAAGGCAATATACTTTATATGTACTTTAAAGGGAAATAGAAACCCTAAGATTGACCGTTAAGACATTTTGATTGTAAAGTATAAAAAGAAAAGTAGTTACCTCTGTTTCCAAAACCTTTTCCACTTCCAAAACTACCCATTGTGGGTATAGTCTCTCTTTTACTAAACTCTCCAACATCTGAAAAAGTTCATATGATTAAGTTCATTAACATACTATAATTGCATCAAAAACTTGAAACAAACATTTGAGGTAAAAGTGAAATATTAAATATGGAAAAAACAGTACAGAGACAATAAAAATAGTACAAGGATATAAAATTTAAATTATGCTATCAAGATTAAAATACATATCTATAAATAATGAAATACAGGTTTCTATTGTTATTTCCTTGGAGACCAGGAATTTCATTTCTTGATTTCCTTTATGTTGAACACTTACTTTGATAGACCCAACTATTATATTTGGCCCCTACACGAAAGTCATTGCTATTCAAACTTTATGCTATTCAAAACTTTATACTTATGTCCTATTTATTAATTTCTATTATTTTTCTACTATATCTCTGTCAGCTTTTCTACTTTTAAAATTAAGCATGACTTCTCCTTCACATTCTCTCTTCATCATTCCATACTATTTTCCCATATTAACTAAGCTTTGGCTTTACTTTAATTCTGAGCACCCAACATTTTTTTGGTGGTACCTGGATATAAATAAATCAATAACCAATTCACCTGTAAAGTTTTCCTTGAGCATGCCCATCATAATCCTCCTTCTACATTTCCAATACCAAACTACCTCTACTTCCTTTTTTGGTAATATTTCATGTATTTCTCTACCATTAAGAATCTTAGTCATACATAGGGTGATGCAACTATAGTTCCAGCTACCCAGATGTCTAAGCATGAGGATTACTGAAGCTGAGAAGTTTGAAACTAATCTTAGAACCATTCTTTTAAAGAAAAATAATCTTGGGCTGGGAAGGTGGCTCAGTGGTAGAGTGTTTGCCTTGCATGCTCGAGGCCCTGGGTTCGATTCCTCAGCACCACATAAGCAAAAAGAAAAAAGCCGGAAGTGGCGCTG